GCTCTCCCCAGGGCAGTGCTGAGCCCCCCCCCCAAAGCCCCCAGCTCTCCCCAGGGCAGTGCTGAGCTGGAACTGCGAAGTCCTGTGGACACTGTAGCTCTGAATGTGACATGTCTGGCCACACCCTCCTTTGGATCTAGGACGGCACTCTCGGGGGCTCTGCCCCTCTTCCAAGTCACCCCTCGGGCTACCCTGTGGGCTCTTCTTTCTCTGTGGGTGCCCGGAGTGCTGGCCATGCCCAGGGTTCTCACGGGCTCACCCTTGCTCCTGCCCGCTGGCACTGATGACCCCCACACCCCCTCTTCAGGTCTCCCCTCCACTGCCCACAACCCAAGGGCAGCAGCATAACCCCAGGCTCTCGCTTTCTGCTTGAGTGCCCTCTCTGTGCCTCCACTCTCCCCGTCTGTAGCATGGGCACGCCTCCCGCCCGGGCTGCTTGAGGATGGGGTGCGAGTCACCCAGCGCCTCCGGAGCACATGTGGCCTCAGCAAATGCTCGGGAGATGCTAAGCGCCCGCTGCTGTTCCTCACCTCTGCCCGCTGCCTCGGGGATGGGACTGTCTGACCCAGAAAAGCCGGGCGCCTGAGCCCCTCGCCTCCTTCACCTCCCGCATCCAGACTCACTGCCCGCCCCACCAGGCACTGCCATTTCTTGCCGGTTCCCACGGAACTCACTTCTCCAGGGACCCTCCCCAGAGCCTCCGTGTACCTTGTAAGATACATGTAGAATCGTGTCTCTCCCCACTGAAACCCTCAGAGGCCCCCCAGGGCCCTCAAGAAAGGTCCAAGCTCCTGTCAGACATGAGACCAGCACCCTCAGCTGCCCAGGCGCCCTGCTGCCCAGCGAGGAAAGACAGGGGCCTCCTACAGAATCGCTCTCCCTGCCTCCCTGTCTGCACTGCCCTCCTCAGCCTCTCTGCCTGACTGTTTTCCCTTCAGGATTCCTCTCAGGGACCCCTGCCTCCAGGAAGCCCTCCTGGAGTTTCCAAAGCACCGAGGACCCCGGAGGACCATGCAAGGGCAGGGCAGGGCAGGGCAGGGCAGGCGGGTGATGTGCGCGACTGCTCTCACTTACAGATCTTGGCTTCAGCCACCAGGGGGCCGTGCCTCTTCTTGCCCACAAAGCCGTACAGGAGGAATTTGTACTTGCGGCCCACGTCCAAGTTGGCGATGAGGGCCGAGCGCTGGGGCCCCTCCACAGGCACCACCCGGGGCTGGTCCCTGTCTTTGTACTGGATCACGAAGGAGTCGAACTCGCCCTCCGGGACCGTCCAGTGCAGGAGCAGGGAGCTGGAGGTCACGTCGGTCACTGTCAGCTCGCCCAGGCGCGGTGGGGCCAAGGGCTTCCCGGGCTTTTCCCCGTCGCTGTCTAGAGGGGGAGGGGAGTAAAAGCAAAGCAGACTCAACCACCGCTTTACCCTTGTCTCCTCCCCTCCCATCTGCCCACCGGCTCACTCCAGGCCGGACGGCTCCCTCCCTCCCTCGAAGACTCCGCGTCCCCACCGAGCCCGCTGTGACCAGCCTTCCCGAGAAGGGGCATGTCCCCCTCAAGCTCCCCACCCCTCACAAAGGTCCCAGTTCTCTCCACACCGAGGTTCATGGGCCAGTTTCAGGCCCCCGTGCTTCCTGGGAGTTTGGAAACGCCCTGCTGCTGCAGAGCAGTCTGAGGACTCCTCAGTCCACCTGCACGGCCCTCCCTGTCTCCCTCTCTCCCTGAGCTGGAGCTGGAGCTTCCGGGAGAATCAGCTTTCCTGGTCCCATAAGCGGGGCATGTGAGAGCCCGGGACCCCAGGCGCTGGCCTGCACTGGCTCTGCAGACCTCACCCATCTCTGCAGGCCTGCTGGCTACGGTGCTCCCTGCCCCAAGGAACCCCCACCCCCAGGAGAACCTGGCCCATGGGACCACAGGGCCAGAGCCACCATCCTAGCCTGCCCAGTGAGGGGCGGGGCTGTGGGGAAGAGCAGGGGAGGAGGGGGTTGAGGGTCATGTCATCAGAGGCCTCCCCACACCCACCCAGAGAGATCTACGGGGTGGGGCAGAGGAGTGACCAGGATGTGGGAACAGGACTCAGGGAAAGAAAGCTGCAGGGAGAGCCCTGCCCCACCCTCTGACTTTCCCCATTTTCTCTTCCTGGAGAACTCCCCTCCCCGCCCACGAGGTCACTTCTCAGCTCACCCATCCCTCTTGCCTCTGACCCCTCAACTCCTTTCCTCTGCCTGTTTCCTCCCACCACTCCCACCCTGCCTCCACCCCACCCCCCGACGAGCCCAGCCCTCCCCCAACCTCAGGACCCAGGTCTGAGCAGAAGCCAGAATGTACCCATAATGCCTTGGTAGATGAGAGGGGCAGAGGGCTCGCCCTCAGGGGGGACCCCACGAAGTGACAGCTCATAGGGGGCTCCAGGAGGGGGTGAGGGCAGCAGTGCCTGGCGGACATCCCCGGGCAGGAGTTGGTCATGCGACCCTGGCCCATTGGGCACCCGGAGGCGCAGCTGGAAGTGGGCAAAGGTGTCAGGCTGGGCCATCCAGGCCACGCGGAGGCGCCCTGTCTCGTCTCTGCCCAGCACTCTCAACTCCCCCAGCTCCTGGGGGCGCTGCTGCAGGCCGGGCGCCTGGGCTCCTTGAGTTGTTGAAGGGCCTGAGGGAGGAGGCTCATCAGTGGCCCCCAAGAGGCCGGAAGGGGAGGACCCTGGGAAGGGCAGGGCGAGAGAAACAGGAGAGGCCAGTGTGAGAGCCGGAAAGGAAGCCCAGCCTGCAGGTCTGCCCTCTGGCCTCTAAGAGCCCACACACCTTCCTGGCCGCCTCATCCTCCCAGAGGTCGGCCAGTCCCCCAGACACGCCTGTCCCCCTCACCTGAGCAGACAGGCCTGCAGGTAAAACTGAATGGAGCAAAGCCTCCCTCCCCCAATACTCCTGTGACCTCCAGCCCCACACGCCCGAGCCCCTCCCACAGCAGCCCCCCCCAGCACCCAGCACCCCCCGCCCCCCGGGTGGTGGCTGTGGCCTCCATTAGTGCTGCAGCAGAAGCCTGGAAGAAAGGAGGAAGGTGGTGTGAGGAGGGAGGGTGCCAGAGAGAAGGGCTGTGAGTGGAGTGAGAGGCTCAGCTCGGCGGCATCTGGGCCCTACGGGAAGAAAAGGTCCGCCACCCTCCCCCGCAGCCACGGTGCCGCCCCGCTCCTGTGGAGAGACCAGCAGAGGTGAGCCGGGGCGCTGAGGGTTCCCCTCCCCAGACAGCGGTGCGAAGGCTTAAGGCCCCCCAGCAGGCCCGATGTGTCCCTGTGAGGTCAAGGCCAAATTGTGGGAAACAGCACCACTGACCACAGACTTCAGACACCCTCACCGCAGGAGTCAGGCTGGGCGCTCGGGCTCACTCTGCCCCGCCCGGCCGCCCTG